GGGGCAGCTTATATAGGGATCCTTAGCCACACCCAGCTCTCGGGCTCTTGCAGCTGCAGGCGAAGTCTCAGACTCAGTTCACTCCAGAAAGTCAAGAGGCCAAGGGATCGATAGCTCCCAACAGGTTCCCAAGGCAGGCATTTCAAAAGAACAAGCCTCAACAAGCAAACATGCTAGACTTTTGCTGATTTACCTCCTTGACCAAAGCAGGTGGACAGCCTAGAGTATGAGAGCAAAGAGAAGGGCATGAAGTCAGTCAGCTCCGTGCTTGTGAATATAATTGAATCTTCTGGTCTCTCACTGCTCTGATTCCAGTGACTGGTGCTGAGGGAGCATCAATGAGACTTCAGGTCTCAATTTTTGAGCCAGGTACATTCTGAGAATCCTGAATAGTCATCCTCTGTGGTCTCGTGTTCCCAGGCACCGCTCCAAAGAGGGTCTAACTGAGCGTTTTGAGCTATTTGTCATGAAGAAGGAAATCTGCAATGCCTACACTGAGCTGAATGATCCCATACGGCAACGGCAACTGTTTGAGGAACAGGCCAAGGTAAGGAAGGAGAGTGAGCAATGACATTAATTCACCACTAAGTTCACTCACCAGGAAGAACTAGCCTTAATCCTGTTTATGGACACTTTCTTGGTATTTTAACCAAAGCTAAAAGGCTTTTTAATTTTTTTTATTTTGTTTTATGTATATGGGTGTTTTCCCAGCATGTGTATCAGTCTACCACGTGCTTACAGAGATCAAGGAGGGCAGAAAAGGGAATTGGATCCTCTGGAACTTGGTTGTGAGCCACCGTGTGGGTGCTGGGAATTGAACCTGGGTCCTCTGGAAGAGCATCTCTTATCCACTGAGCTATTTCTCCAGCCCATAAAGAGGCTTTTGTAGGAGGAAGTCACATTTAAAGTAGAGCTTTTCGGTTTTGAGACACTATCGGGTCGCCAAGGCCACCCTTGAATTCCTTGATCCTCTAGTCTCTACCTCTAAGGGCTGGGTTTAGGGCGACACTACCACACCCAGCTGAGACTCAGGGCTTTGATCTTACAATGCATAAAATGAATTTAAGATCACCTCTATTTATTTAGCAAGAACATACTTTTTCTTCAACTATACCTCTTTTTTGCAATGGTGTGGTGATTTGTTTTTTTGAAACAGTTTCTCTATGAAGTCCTGGCTATCCTGGAACTCTGTAGACCAAGCTGGTTTTGAAACTCAGAGCAATCCCCTGAGCCTCCCAAGTGCTGGGACTAAAGGTGTGTGCCACCACATCTGACATAAATTGCACCTTTATTGAGGTGGTTTGAGGATGAGCAACACATAAAGATCTAAGGAAGGCAGTGCCAAAGCTGCCTTTACTGCCTCTCTCTGGTTCTTTAGTATCATCTAAAGCATCATCATAGTAGCTGAGAACTCATGTGTTTGGAGTCCCAAATCCCCAAGCAGAAGAACATTTTTGTTCAGAGAAATTTGCCGACATTCTGAGACCAAAAAAAGAAAATTTAATTGTTGTAGTCTATTTGATAAAATAATGAGGGATACCTGCTCTGTCCCCATTGGGTTTTTGAGACACAATCTCAGTGTTTAGCCCTGACTGGCCTGGAATTAGTTTTGCAAACCAGACCAGCCTCCAGCTCTTGTCAGTCCTCCTGCCTCAGCCTTCCAAGTGCTGGAACTACAGCTATGTACAATCACATTCAACTTAAAATATGGGTTGAGGAGGTAGGTCTCGTCAGTCTTAACCTCCAGGTCTCTGAGAGAAATAGCTAAATCCTAGAGTTACCGAGAAGCCATTTCCTAGCAAGTCTTGAATGCCAGGAACATCTTTGGTACTTTTGAAAGTTCTAGTGTATGGTTGGGTGCTGAGATGACCTACAATGACAGCTCTCGACCTGTGGATTGCAACCTCTTTGGGGGTCACATATCAGATATTTACACTGTAATTCATAACAGCAGCAAAATTACAGTTATGAAGTAGCAATGAAAATAATCTTATTGTTGGGGGTCACCACAACATGAAGAACTGTATTAAAGGGTCACAGCATCAGGAAGGTTGAGAACCACTTAACTAGAAGATTATTTCATCTGATTCCATTTATTCTAGGCTAAGGCTGCTGGTGATGATGAAGCCATGTTCATAGATGAGAACTTCTGTACTGCCCTGGAATACGGGCTGCCCCCAACAGCTGGCTGGGGCATGGGCATCGATCGAGTCACCATGTTTCTCACGGATTCCAACAATATCAAGGTATGCACAAACTTCTCAGTAACGCTTCCCCAACGCCACTGCACTTGAGATGGCAGGGAGGGTCTGAAAATGAAGGGCTGCTGAAGAAGTTCATGCCCCTGCACAGTGGAAGACTACAGGGCACCTGACCTTCCAGGATTGTGGTTTTTCCTGCTTGAGACAGGAGGCCTACTAAGTTTGCTTCTTCTTCAATAGCCAGGGAAATGCTAAGTCCTCCTCTTGTCGGTCAATTCTGTAAGGTGTGCAAACTTTTTATTTTTTTATTGTATTTTATAGAGAAGGAAATCCATTTGTTACTCATTTATTGTTCCTGTTTTTGAGACAGGGTCTCGGGTAGCTAGGCTCATCTACGTTCAGTCACGTGGCTCGATATCTCAGTACTGCCCATCCTGCTTCCTCCGTGCTGACTGGCAACTCTCTCACACTCCTAGATTCCTCTCTCTGCCTGGAAGTCCTGCCTATACCTCCTGCCTTGCTATTAGCTTTTTATTACACCAATCACAGCAATACTCTTTGTAGTTTGCAGTGTCCTTGAACTCCTGATATGCCCGCCTCTACCACCAGGATTGATTATATTGATGTGTGCCTAGAAGAAAGTTGACTTTAAAAATTTATACATATGACTGTTTTGCACCACAAACATATCTTGTGCCTTCAGAGGCCAACTGTCAAATCCCCTAAAACAAGATATACATGACTGTGAGCTACCTGTAGCTGCTCAGAACCTAATCTGGGTTCTCTGCAAGAGCAGCAAGTGCTCTTAACTGCTGGGCCATCTCTCTAGCTGAAACTCAATTTTACTAGAACCTGTGTTGATTAATTCTTTTGACATGGAGGTTTTGTGCAGGTGTTTTGGCTAAGGTGTGCAGATCTATAGATATGGCTGGTTTGGTTATTGACAGCGGAGACAAAAGCAATGATAGGATAACTGTAAAAACATATTCATGGGGCTTTTTCCTTTGTCTTTTTGAGACAGCGTTCTGGAACTCAGTCTGTAGACCAGGCTGTCCTCAAATTCACAGACATCCGCCTGCCTCTGCCTGTACTGTGGTTAAAGACTTGTGCCACTAAACCAAGTTCAGAGTGCTTCTTAATTCCAAAGTATGTTTTCCTCTTCTGTAGGAAGTACTTCTGTTTCCCGCCATGAAGCCTGAAGACAAGAAGGAGACGGCAGCAGCCACTGAGACCCTAGAAAGCACAGCTGGGCCCTCTGTCTAGAAGATAAATGTGACTCTGGCTTCTCTGCACTTTAGCAGAAGGTCTGCTCTCAGGGTTCATGTGTGTTGCCATCCATCTGGCCACCGAAGTCCAACCACCAGAAGAGAGAAGAATTAAAGAATTTCTTTTTATTGCTTGTTACCAAATAAAACATTTCTCTCTTTACCTATGTAATGTTACATTTTTCCCCCCCAGACTGCTGGTCTAATGAATGTTTAGAATTCTGTCATTGTAAATTTGTTTTGTTTGTTTGGTTTTAGTTTTTCGGGACAGCATTTCTCTGTATGAGAACTCTGGCTGTTGTGGAACTCACTTTGTAGACCAGGTTGACTACAAACTCATAAAGATCCACCTGCCTCTGCCTCCCGAGTGATGGGATTAAAGCATTCACTACCACCGCCTGGCTTGTAATTTTTTTTAAGACTTATTTTTATTTTTAATTGTGTGTGTGTGTACTGTAGGACAGGTGCCCTCTGAGGCCAGGTGATGGAGCTCAAGTTCAGTCAGTTGTGAGCTGTCCAACATTGATTCTGCAAGAATGCAAGAATCAGTTGGACTGCGAGTCCAGTTCTGCAAGAGCAAAATGTGCTCTTTACTCCTGAGTCAACTTTCCAATTTATATTAATGTCAGTTCAATACTAGGCAGTGTTCTGAACTATTGGAAACACAGCAGTGAACAAAACTCAATCATTACTTCCATGGAAATTACTTTTTTTTCAATGCTTACTTATTATGTATACAATGTTCTACCTATATGCAGACCAGAAGAGAGCACCAGATTTTATTAAGGGTGCTTATGAGCCACCATGTGGTTCCTGGGAATTGAACTCAGGACCTCTAGAAGAGCAGAGCAGTCAGTGCTCTTAGCCGCTGAGCCATCTCTCCAGCCCCAGAAATTACTTTTTAGGGCTTAAGTGGAAAATTGAGAGAGAATCAGACAAGATAAAGTCCATGTCCTTTATTTGGTGGAGGCACACACTAAGAAAACCACCAAGCAGGGGAAGAGGACAGCGGGGCTATCTTACATAGTGTAGACAAGGAGTAGGAGACATGGCCCGGTGGTTGCCAGTGACTTCTGTTCTTGAAGAGACCTGGGTTCAGTTCCCTGGACCGATGTCAGCTTTCAATCTGTAATCCAGTTCCCTATGTCCTTTTCTAGCCAATTTGGGCATTTGCATGCCCACGTGGGCCTAAAGTGACACAGACACGTGCACATAATAAATCTTTTAAAATACATGCGTGTATGTACAAGGGATCTGTTACCCTGCAGAGAAATGCATGAGGAACCATGTCATCCAAGTCCATAATAGTCGTGCAGGATTTGTTATGAGTGACGTAGGAAACTGCCAGAGGGTCTGATCATAGTCCTGTTCAAAATTCAGAGAGGTAAGTCGGTTTTGAAACCTTACCTCTAGCCAGATGGTGGTGGCGCACGCCTTTAATCTCAGCACTTGGAAGACTTGGAAGGCAGAGGCGGACGGATCTCTATGAGTTCCAGGGCAGCCTGGTCTATAAGAGCTAGTTCCAGGCCTGAATCCAAAGCTATAGAGAAACCAAAAAAGCAACAAACAAACAAAAAAAAAACCCTGCACAGGCAGGACTTGGCTATAGAACTGAACTTACTTGGCGTCTATCCCACTCAAGGACTACAAAGACCATCATGCTTCGCGAGCGGAGTTGCGCGAAGCAGCCTTTAGTGCGTCACTTCCGCTGCGCAACCGGGTTCTGAGGCGGTAAACCGGTTCGTGTGGAGGGCGTGGAGTGTGGATAACATTGTCTTAGGATCTCCAGATTGGCGTCCAGATCTTGGGGCCGGGTCTACACAGCCGGCTTTGTGTGGGAGGACACGTGTCCTCTGCTCCCACGGAGGGGTCTCACGGTCCTACTAGGACCTCCCGCCCCGCGGAGTCCCACCTCCGGGGTAGGAAGGGTTGGGGGGGAAAAAGTGGGTTTTTCAACTTTGCGACTGTTACTTGTGGTCAAAGAAATGCCTGTTTGAGTTCCTTCGTACGAAGGAGTTCTTCGAAGTCTTTGAATAGGGGTTGCAGACAAGAATTACAGCGGACCCAAAATATCGAAACATTCCACAACCGCGTGGTCCTTCAGTCGGCTGCCTGAATTGATGTGATGTAGTTTGGGCTGCTTTGCTTTGCTTTGATAGTTTGTAATATGTATCTCTAGTTTAATTGCAGGTTGATGGCAGGTGTCTAACCTTCATAAAATAAACTGCCTTCTTGGAACGAACAGGATTCTAGAATCTTTCATGCTTATGTTCCTAGAAATAGAAGAATTTCACAGAAGCGGGTGGATTTCTGTGAGTTCGAGGCCAGCCTGGTCTACAGAAAAAGTTTCAGGACAGCAAAGGTTACACAGAGAAATTCTGTCTCGAACCTCCCACCCCCCCGAAAAAAAGCAGGACTTCTCTGCGTTAGACTTTAACTATCTCTGTCAATCTCTGCCAGAATAATCATTACCGTTCACTGCAAAAATGGGCAAACAACTTGCAGAAGTTGTGGAAATACTTTGCAGAAACATTACATCTGAGCTCAGAAAAAACTATTCTGTTGTTTATGATGCAGATGCTCTGCGGTCTAGCCATCGTATGAGCTCATCTAAGAAGCTTTTCATATGATCAGATGAAGTCAAGATATGACCAGTGAGCACTAACAGCCAAGACTGGGGGCTTTCTGCATACTGTCTCAGGGCTCTTTCAGATCTGATCTGCTAATATTTGTTAGTTTGTGTATAAATGGCTTTATGTGCCCGTTAGAATCCTCCTCTCCCCCAACCAACTCAAATGTTCCAGATCACCAAATGTTGTATTTTGTAGTGTTAATTACAGTCAGCATTGTTAAAGACATTTGCTTTTATAAGTATTTATAAAATATGTTAGATACTAGCCAGGTAGTGGTGGCACACACCTTTAATCCCATCACTCCAGGGGCAGAGGCAGGCGGATCTCTGTGAGTTTGAGATCACCCTGGTCTACAGAGCTAGTTCCAGGACAGCTAGGGCTCTTACACAGAGAAACCCTATCTTGAAAAACCGAAAAGAAAAAAATGTTCAGTACTACTATCCATGCTTTTTTCAGGCTTTTGTTTTTGTTTTTCAAGACGGGCTTCTCTTTGTAGCATTAGTTGCCCTGGAAGACCAGGCTAGCCTAGAGACATCCTCCTGCTTCTGCCTCCTGAGTGGCTTAAAGGCATGCACCACCACTGGCCAAATATTACCCATGTTTTACCAGATGTGAAAACTAAAATAATCTACCCAGTAATCACACAGTTGCTCTGTGGTACAGCTGGAATTGAAACCTGGAAAGTACAACTCCATGCCCCATACCCTTAAATACAGCTGTGGTGAAAACATCCAGCGAGAGACTCTGAAAATTTGCTAGAGTGAGGTAGATTGGGAAAAGAATATCTATCCAGAAAAAAACAAAAGCAAACAAACAAACAAAAAAAAAAACTTTGCTTTGGTTTTGTTGTTGTTGTTTGGTTTTTTTTCAAGGCAAGGTTTCTCTGTAGCTTTGGAACCTGTCCTAGAACTCACTCTAGACCAGGATGGCCTTGAACTCACAGGGATCCACCTGCCTCTGCTTCCCAAGTGCTGGGATTAAAGACGTGCACACCACTGCCCGGTCCAGAAAGTAAGTTTGTAGGGTGATGATCTGCCCAAAGCAAGCCGAAATTTGAAAGGACAGTGTCAAACATAACAAATCCAGATTCATTAACTGTTATTACATAACTTGTTTTAATCTTGAAGCAGTAGCATGTCCTGTGGAAGTTGTAGCTCTCTCTTGTGTATTAAAGATGGGAGGGAAGGAAGATGAGTAGGAAAAAGCGAGCCTTAGTCTGAGCTCTCTTGGGCTCCATTAGAGACTGCTGAAGCACCGGAGTGAGGCGCTCTGGCTTACACTGGTTTTCCTTTCTATTCTGATAGTCTGGACTTCTATCAGGGCCTCAGCTCCAGCTATGTGGACGGCAGATGAGATTGCTCAGCTGTGCTACGCACACTACAGTGTCAAACTGCCCAAGCAGGGGAAACCTGAGCCAAACCGTGAATGGACTTTGTTGGCAGCCGTCGTGAAGATACAGTCTCCAGCTGGCCAAGCTTGTGGCACCACTGATAAGGAGGTGCAAGGTGAGACCTTTTCTCTCTGTCAGCCACCATAGACAGTTCCGACAGCGCCGGGCTGGGTGTGAACTATATAGCGTTAGGTGTTTCCTCATGGCTTCCACCAGGTGGCGCAGTACTTCTGGTGGTGGCGGGGAAACTGCAGTCCTGATGGAGTCCGCTGGGAATCCTCTGTAGAAAGGAGAAATGGGGACTTACTAATCCGAACACTAGGAAGCATTCAGCCTCCGAGAGTTCACTTAACGATTTGTTTTTTTTCCTTTCAGTGACAAAGGAAGTTGTCTCAATGGGAACAGGGACGAAATGTATAGGCCGGTCCAAAATGAGGAAGAGCGGTAAGCAACGAGGAGCTCTAAACAGTGATGCTGTGCTACAGGTGTCCATGCTGACCTTTAGTCCCCTTGTCAAGGACACGGGGACACACTGGTTCCAGGACAGCCAAGGCTACCAAAAGAAACCATGTCTCAATATAAAGTGTCAAAGTTGGTGGTCCATGTCTTTAAGCCCAGCATTTGGGAGACAGGGACTAGTGGATTTCTCTGGAGTTCTAGTGAGCCCCAGGCCAGCCAGAGCTACACGGTGAGACCCTGTGTGTTACCAATGCACAAACTAAGTTTGAGTCTCAGGACCCACGTGGGAGAAGGAGAAAACTGACTGCTTTGAATTGTCCTCTGACCTCTGTCTACGTGCATATTGTGTCTCATGTACGCACATCATGGTACATATATACAAAATGAATAAATGAAAATGTATTACGTTATCTTTAAAAAGAATTGAAGGACTCTGGGGTATGGCTCAGGAGTGCACTTGCCTAGCTGTATAAGCACTAGATTCGATCCCCAAGCACTTAAAAATTGTTTCTATAAATCTCAACTAGAGGTTGATAATGGAATATTAGTTAAAGATATGTTGCATAATTATGCTATGGGATATTTGTTTAATGATGCAAAGACGTGTTGCATTCTTTTATGTTGCATTTGTTTAACTCTGTGAAGCTATGTTATTTTGCCTGTTTAAAACATCTGATTGATCTTAAAAAGAACTGAACAGCCAATAGCTAGGCAGAAGAAAGAATAGATGGGGCTATCAGGCAGAGAAAATAAATAGGAGGAAAAAAAGAGAAGATTGAGGAGCAAGAAAAGAAGGAAAAGGACACCAGGGGCGAGCCACTCAGCTACACAGCAAGCCAAGGAGTAAGAAGTAAAGAAAGGTACATAGAATAGAGAAAGATAAAAGCCTAGAGGCGAAAAGTAGATGGGATCATTTTAGTTAAGAAAAGCTGACTAGAGGAGCTGGAGAGATGGCTCAGCGATTAAGAGCACTGACTGCTCTTCCAGAGGACCCAGGTTCAATTCCCAGTACCCACATGGCAGCTCACAACTGTCTGAAGATCCAGTTTCAGGGGATCTGACACCTTCAAACCAATGCACATAAAATAAAGTTAAATAAACCATAAGAAATATTAAAAAAAAAAAAAAGAAAAGAAAAGCTGACTAGAAACAAACCAAACTAAGGCCGGGCAGTCATAAGTGAGAATACATCTCCATGTGTCATTATTTGGGAGCTGGGTGACAGGCCTCCCCAAAGAGTCAAAAGAGTAAAAAGCAACAACTACCAGTGGTGTTTCTTTGTTTTGCTTGATTTATTTGTTTGTTTTATTTGTCTAGTATTTTGAGATAGGATCTCAATATGTAGCCCTGGCTTATCCAGAACTTGGCTATGTTGTTTAGACTGGCCTCAAATTCATGGTTATCCTGCCCAAACCAGGGATTACACGCACCACCATGGACCTAGCAACCAATGGCAAGTTTGTACCCAATGCTCCCTTGGCATTGTCTAGAAGTATTTTTGGTCATCACCACATAAGGTGAGGTATTCTTGGTATCCTGTAGGTAAAGGATCCTGTACATCCTATATATTTTTGTTTGTTTGAGACAGGGTCTGTCTATGTAGCTCTGGCTGACCTAGAACTCACTCTGTAGACCATGTTGGCCTTGAATTCACAGAGATCCACCAACCTATGCCTCCTGAGTGCTGAGATTAAAGTGCTGGAAGGGTACTGCTGTATTCTGCCAGGCTCTCTAGATCCCAGTCTTCATTTCCTCCATATCTCCCGTCTTTGCCACACAGGAGACATCCTCAATGACAGCCATGCTGAGATCATAGCCAGAAGGAGTTTCCAGAGGTAAAGCCATATTCCCCAGAAAGTCTTGGTTGAACATGTCTGGGGGTGGGGTTTGCATGTCTAATAAGCTTGAAGCTTATGTAGATTGTGTCGCTCTGAACTGCCAGAGTTCAGATTAGTGCTTCTCAGACTTGAGTGTACCTCAGTATCACCTGGTAAAACCCAAGTTTCTTGCCAGGCATGGTGGTGCATGCCTTTAATCTCAGCACTAGGGAGGTAGATGCAAGAGGATCTCTGTGAGTTCAAGGCCAACCTGGTCTACAAAGCTAGTCCCAGAACAACCAGGGTTTTTACCCTGTCTTGAAAACAAAACAAATAAACAAAACCCCCAGGTTTCTGGGGCCACGGTATAAGCTTAGTAATGAAGCTCTTCTAGTACATCAGGCCTTTGAGTTCAAACCCCAGCACAGGGATGGAGTGGACAAGATGGCTGGACCTACCTCCTGAGATCTGATTTCAGTGGATCCAGGGCGAAGCCTGAGGTCTTCCTGACCTTTACAAAGGACTCATTTTTATCATTCTCCTAATGCCAGATCTCTAACAGTCTCATTGTTCAGCTGTAACCCTTCCTGTGATCACCCAGCCAGAGAGCTCTCTTTACTACAGACATTTGTTTATTCCTTTTCCTCCATTTAACTAATTTTATAGTGCTGGGAGTCAAGCCAAGGGCATTGCATATGCTAGGCGCTCAGTGT